ACAACACAACTTTTGGAGTAGAATTTGATTTCTCGGCGTGTTGATTACGACAGTGGTCTTTGTCACGGACTAACTGATTGAAACTGATTAGAGGGAGGCATTGTTAAGGCCAACAGTATCACTCTGTCGGATTGAGGCTGAAGTAACTGCTATAGTGCGCCCCTGTGCTGTGTTGTGGACACGCCTCAGCGCACTTTTGCACCTGCCTACGTCAACTCTCTCGCTCGGATAACTGCTGTGGAATCGCTGATCTCACGATTGCGCGACCCAGCTGGGTCGATTTCGACCAGCCAGCTTCGGACTGCCCATAGTGATCAAATCAGTTTGTTTCGCTATTCCACCAAATCCTTGTCTGATATAGTGTCTCACAACGCCTAAACTTTCCATTTTGATTTGTGGGGAATTCGATGCTCCTGTGTCAAGCATGGACAGTTCTACAAATCAACCGTATCCAGGAATCTGCTAAGTAATTTGGGACACTTTTAAGTAGCTGTCGATTTTTTATGCCTATTACTTGCCTTTGGTTTGCTCCGCGACATTCATAAAAATTATCCTTCTTTTATCGTAAAAATACGGAAGACTTCACACCTTGTCCGACCTTTGACTTGTTATGATTAGGTTGAGGTGGTGCCACCTGGATTCACCATTTGTATTACGTTGTAGGGAGATCGTTTGCAGTATATACAGTACTTGTTATTCCAAACGTGATGGGTTTCTGTTTTCGGGCGTACTGCCAAATTTGATCACAAGTGTAGTTACCACCAGGAGGACCGGCCTCATCGTCTTGGTCCATTAGTGGGAACGAATATTCAACCGCAATGTAGCTGTGAAGTATGAATGTCCCATTAAAGGAAGAGATGGAAAACCCAATGTCCTTGTGTTTACAATATATCTTCTAAAACCATTAAAATAAACACATGTAAGTATCATGTTGAAGATAGATGCTATCAGCAATACTGATCTAGCATTGTTTGCGATCTGGTAGTTCTGTTGTGATGGCTTTTCCACGAGGGTACATTCTGGTGATTCTCTTTGTGTGTGCTTTATTCATATATTTCTGTGCAGCATCGGTATTCGCCACTCAGACCCTAGCAAAGTATCCTTTGTTAGTTTTTATCATGCAGTTTTCTTTATTGTGCACTTTCTGGGTAGATTAATGGAATTATTTTTTTGAGTCAGTCCCTAAATGTAGCCAACATCTTGCACTTCAAAAACAGACTGTACTTGTTTGCGTCAGACAGTGATACTGAGTTGCTGGTTGCATCTGATTCACACGTTTCTTCGGTTTTCAAGCCTTTGTATATGCCACTTTCTCACTCGATTGATCGATCGCTTCCTCGAACGTGGAAGCACATGAGTATTTGATAGTTCTTTATTGATCTCGCCGCTGGATGTCAAAGTCTTTCGCATGCGTTGCGTAATTTTGATACTGTATTTCATATTGACGCACATTATCTCTAATCCTGTCTCGGTACCACCTTCTTTGGATCATTTGATTCCTTATCCTTTCAAATCCGTTCCTAATCGTCTCTAAGGGGTTTTCCTTGTTCGCTTGAGTATCTTTGTAAAGTCAAACGGTACGAACATATAAGAAACGGTGAAAAGTCTCCAAATTCAGAAATATCAGGGGAAATTTGCATGGTCGAGATCAGTATCCTGTTCCTTCCAGCCAGAGTACAAGTGCTTTGGATACATAGTACCTGATTGCTCGGATATGCGGATTGTCACCACAAAAGGGGCGGACAGGTTGCAGGCGAATGGGCCCATGTCGAAAGAAACGGCACCTATGAGGGTGTCCATCGTGAAGCCCTGGAGTAGAACAAATACGGGCTTCAGAGTCCTGCATCGTGGCAATACCCCGTACTGCAGCTCAGCGGATCGGAAACGTCAGGAGCGGCCGAACTAACACGCATACACCACAGTTTGGTGTTCAGGTGAATAGCAGGACCTAAAAAACACGACACACTTTGATATTCGGGACTCAATGAAGACATTTAACTGCTGACCTGTTAATCAATCTTCTCAGTACAACACCGTCGACTGGGATATCCATCAACGACCTATAGGGTGAACTGAAAGTCATTCTTCAGTTATAGCCCGTGCACCGGATAGTATGCTAAGTCGCTGTGAGCAGAACAAACTGTTCCTTACCGTAAATCGTTTCATCGTATCCTCGTCAACTTGTGGAAAACTGCCAGGAATACAGAGTATCTAAGCTGTCTGTCTAGAATACGCCACCCATTCTCGTGCATGCAATCCTTACCACATTTTTTAGGTAAACTGGTCCTGTTTGGGCGCCTCCGGTTATATCTATCTGCTTGCAAGTCGGAAAGCTTCCATATGAATGCACTTGTTTGCGTAATGCACAAAATATTGAGACCTAGGTGACACCGGAAACTTTGTTGCAGTCTGTTTTTATTGATTCCGGCTTCTCTGGATACCTAGAGCGGTATTCATGGATCCTTCATTTAACGCCTTCCTTGATCCAGATTCCTCATCGTTGTTCATCGACCTACACGGCTTATTCTTTCGTGACTGTTCGACTAAGCGTAAACGATAGGTACGGACGGATTGGTGATGAGTCATCACTCAATATGGAGGACGATTGTGGCGTGTCCCACTGACCCGCCCTGACACTCATTCTTCTTTGAATTCTCTCCGTGTGTATATAGCCGGCAGATTAGTTCTGCAAGAACAGCGGTGTCTGAAGCCAGGTCTTTCATTTTGATTTTGTTGTTCATATCTGTTACTCTCAGTCAACTGGTAACCTCATAACTTCTTCGTTGGTCTTCCGGTGCTCAGCCGGGCCCTTTGTACTACTATTGTTTATACGGTCCTATAGGTTTTTCTCACGGAGATGAGGCTGAATGTCATCGGTTTCTTTCCCTTAGCCTGGGTATGTCATTCAGTGATTTAAAAAATATGGAAACGCACTTTTGTCACAACTTCTCTTTCACAATAGAATCTATTAACCGGCAAGTTGCCTCGATTTTGCAAATACTTTCACTTGCTCAGCGAGCCGTCTTTGATTCACTTGATGGCAGCAATGCGTGGTTCTAATCACCACTTTTGCAATCCGAAAACCATGTGTTATCAGAAAGTCGTTAGTCTACTGCCCTGCATGAATGCAGGTTGCGAGATTCAGGACCTGACATCCCAGAGCTATCTACTGCAATTGGTTGTCTGTGCAAACATTGTTTCTGTTCGTTTTCTGTTCCGCGGCTTTCGGTGCTGCCGGGTAGACGCAGTGAGTATGCAACGCATCATTTAATCATTTTTTGGCTGGAAACTTTTCATCATTTTTTTTGAGAAGTGACCTAAATAATCCTGCACAGCGTATCACCCAGTGGAGACAGTGAGTATCAACGCATCATTTAATCATTTTTTGGCTGGAAACTTTTCATCATTTTTTTTGAGAAGTGACCTAAATAATCCTGCACAGCGTATCACCCAGTGGAGAAGATTATGTATTCCCAAGTACGAAGCAATCAGTAGGACTACGCACACTTTCCACCTTGCTTTTTCCCATTTTTGGGGATATGAGGACGCTTCACCCCTCCACTAACCCCGTTTGATGTTCATCTGTTAACGCATCAGCTATAAATTCACATGGGGAAATTCCTCCAGCAACCCGTTTAGTACATAGTGGGGCCTCGAAGCCGGACAGGTGTTGCAACAAGGAAGCTTGACAAGAATGACTCATCAATCCATTCAACCCAGGTTATGGTTGTTTCCAGACGCGTGTTGTGGCGCGATTCTGCGACTAACGTTGGGCAAGTAGTTTAGTCTATAAGTTACATCATTGTTTTGTCTTGATCGGTGCATCTACTTTTGTCCAGTAAGCTCCAAATACCTCAAAGGCAATCTCGCTTGAACAGTCTGATTTAACAGTATCCAGCAAGTGACACCCTTCATGTTCACTGTGTTTGTTTCCATTCAAATAGTCATACATACATCTGGAGCCGACTTATCGTGCACTGAGGTCTAGTTTCTGAGAGGTAAAAGCAAAGAACGAAATACCGCTAGATGTGGTATACAGTGTTTTCTCATGGGTGTATCTAAGCTTGAAAACCTAGGCCTTGTCTTTCGGAGTAATTCTTCGGTCTAAACCTGAGTTTGGTCGTCTTGAGTACAAGCAACTTTAATGTAACATAACGCGGCGTTACAAAACTTTCATCTTCAAAAAAAAACAGTTTTATTGTGATAATCGGGCTGTAGCTGTTTAGTCCATGTTATTCAGCACCGATGTCTGAGTTCGCTGTGTTGTGAAATGAGAATTGGTTGACATTGCATGCGGTATGTCAACACGAAGACCTGTTTTCGATAAGCAAGATCAACCTCACCAGGATACTAATAAGTCGCATTATGTCCCACTGTGCTTTTGCACTTGGCAAGCTTTCAGTTGGCAGCACACAACCGATGCGAATCGCTGTCATTCCTTTGTCGAAAAAGTGGGGTAGTGCACTGTTCCAGAACCGTATGCAGACTCGAAAAGTATCAGCCCAGTGTCTGCCTTATCTATATTCCGACTGACAATGAGCAGTGGTGACATTGTTTACGTACTGAATGTCAGGTGAAAACCCATGAAACAGTTGTACGACGGTTTCATCGTTATAGGTGACCCGTGACGGTGTGTGAATTGCACAAATTTCTCTGTTGCCTCGCATCATTTACTTTGTTTAACAGTGGGGCGGTCACGTCACCTACTGTCGGAATCAGTCTTTAAACCAGTCAAATTTATTCACAGAAGATGCGATTGCTTTGTCCCCGTACAACTCTTAACAGTGGTCCTCTTCTATCTGTGGGGTCAGTTCGTATGGAGGATCTATAAATCGTTTTTATGTCACTTCTTTTGTCCTCGTCAACCGCAAGATGTAGAACATGTAGATTATACGCGAAACGCGAATGTTAACGGACAGTATTAAGGCTCGCGTCACCGGTGCAATTTTCGAACTTTGATGAAACGGGCCTCGCTTGTAAACAGGAGTTTTGGATTCTGGCTATTCAGCGGCACTCGGACAAGTTTCATACATGTCCACACGAAATGCTTGGCGATGAATAAAGTAGGGCTTTGTTTTGGTCTCCCATTTCCTGGTTACATTTCCCCGAGTACTCGGAAAATATACTGCAATGCGTGTTCCACCTTGTGTTCCTACAGACGGCGAACTGTTCTACCAATGCAGCTGTTTGCACAACTCACGAGAATCGACTGACCAACTACGGCCGTGCCTTTGAATGATTATTCCTCTGGTGGTCTGGATTTGGTACAGTTTTTCATCTACACCTCTGAGGAAACACAGCACTGCGTATATTGGTGAAGTGTTCAGGATAGTGCCGTTAGCTGCTCGAATCACGCTCCGAATCGTATGCAAAGCATGTTCAATCAACGATGGTCAACTTTTGCCAGTTTGCCCGTTGGGATCACATACAACTAGCTACTCCAATTTCCACAGAGCACTTCTATAAACTCTGTATTTTAGCGGTGTTGGTGTCAGGCGACAATACTGCCTTCAAAAGCTCTGTGCCCAACAGCCTAAAAGCGCTACTAACCAGACATACTTTTTTTCCATGCAGGCTTCGAACTCGGTGTTAATTGGCACACTATTGGTTTGCTTCAAAAAGTGAGGCTGTCTTCACGGGTACAACCATGTCGAAAGAGCTCTCCTGAAAGGTTTACGATTTCGGCCGCTCTCGAGGGTACGCGCTCTTCATGGAGAGAGAAACTGTTAAGGTGGCCTAATCCCTATTAGTTTTATTCATCTGCGCTGTTGTCGTTCCCTTCCGCCCTATTGTTATTACCATTATTATTGATACTATGATCACCTACCTGAACATTTTGTCCCCTTGGTCCATTTTTAGGCCTACTCACGAGTAATGGAGGACACATTCCAAGAAGACTTCCAGAGAGCTCGGTCCCAACGACGTTGGGGCAGCTTGGATGCGTTGACAACTCCACCGAGATTCCGTCCAACCATACTTTCATGACCATCAGTTTTCCTTGTATACGCTCGTTATGTTGTTCTCTCCCACTCTTGTTGCGCCAATCAACCCAACTCCAAGTTGCACTTCCTTCCATTGCATTTGCAGTCCGTCTGCTCTAACTTCTCTTTTGTTGTTCGACTTTTAGCGATGGCGATACATTTTGCAGATCGACCATACTGATTGTTCTACCTTATGTGGACGTGTTGTGGGTCCCCAAATTTCTGTACACGTCTTTCATCCCCACTCCTGTGTCTCTCCAAATCATCTCACATGGTCCGCCGCCTTTAATAAAGCAGTATTTCACGGTCAATAACCCATCCCTTTCCGATCCCAACAAAAAACCCCATCCTTCTTTTCACCTTGGTACTTTTCTACAAACGCTTAACTGACGTTTTTATCCATTTTTAATCTCTGTTTTTGCTCTATACTTAGTCTTCGTCAGCATACCCTCCGAACTACCGGTATCTTAGGTAACTTTATGTTTACTGAATCATTTAACTTGATTTTCTTTCCTAGTTCTTCTGTTCTCGTCATTGTGCATGTTGTCTTGTGTCCGTGAATCGCGCAGGACCGTTTCCATGCTGTCCCGTCCTCATGTTCCGTTGTCGTTGTACATAACTTCCGCGCCGGTAATCAGCCCACCTTTTGACTGTCCTTCGTCCTTTTGGAGGGAGGGTTGTCCCTTTTGCAATATTACAATCACTAGTACGAATGTTGCCACTGAACTCTCTGATCACTGCTGTTTGGTTTATACTTGCTTTCTCCTTCAGAGAAATACATTTTTACTGCCAATCGCGGTTTTTCAAGACGATCTAGCATCACTCAGGAAACCTTACTAATGGTGACGATAGTCTTCAGCTAGCAGTTTTTTGAGCAAATGCGTAGTAAGCCTTGTGATGTGGAGAGCGGTTAATAGAACAGACGTTTGACAGGTGAGAATTTGCTTGTTCGGCTCATCCAATGACATGTGACTTCAGTATTCACCCTGTTGCAAATCAGTTTATACCTCTGATTTCCCACTACCTGAAAGCTAATGCTAAGGACCGATCATGACCCTCTGTGCAGACCACTTTTCGGAATGCAAAGTAATCTTCGGCTGTGGGTCTTACTAAGACGGCGGGGGCAGGGGTGGAATTTCGTTACGAACTTAGAGTTCACCTCGTTCAGTTTTATGTGTTTCAATCATATATTGTATCGCGTCCATTTTGATGCAGCGTTCTACCAACGCGCTTACTACTTGGCTAAATTGGTCCCTCCTAATGAATGTGACCTCTCTGCAAACAGCTGTCTCCCCGAAACGTAATTTGACAAATCCCACTGGTTGGTAACGTTTTTTCCTACTGCTTGTTCTATCCACGAAGAGAACAGAGTACAAATTAATAGTTCTGTCTAATTCAACCAGTATTGAATCTAACTCCAACCCCTACCCATTCACTTGCTTACTCCGCCTATGTACTTTTGGCCCCCACTTATTATGCTTATCTGTACCCTCAAAGGCCGTCTCGTCCGACACCTGTGTATTAGGTGTTGTTGGTCGCGGGATTTTGTAGGATACATACATGACTCTCATTTGAGCAATCGTCATCCTTCCCAGGCGCAATCACTCTGCTGAGTCCACACCAAAGTGGTTGGGAAGCAATGGATTCGAGTTTCATTCTTATTAAACCTCATTAGTAGTGCATATCCAGTGGTCGCGCCGGGGTGTGAACTTCGCGCATCTGACGTGCGAGGTGAATATGTTATCACTTCACCAGCGTACGCTGGACTCACGCTTGAGTGGTTTGAGCGGAACACCGACTCGAACGACGACCCAGTAACATAACTTGTTTGTGTTGATCGATTGACCCGCCAGTTGGGACCTCCCACAGACGCTTGGAACATGCTGGACGCACTTTGTTCCAGTTGGTTGCGGGATTGTGTAGGATACATACATGACTCGTTTGAACGATCGTCCTCCTGTGCAGGCGCGATCATTCGGCTGAGTCCACACCAAAGGGGTTGGGAAGCAATGGACTCGAGTTTCGCTCTTATTGGATATTCGGATGAATCCATCGTGCGTCGGTGGGGTGGTGGAACACGCTTACCTCGCACGTCAGATGTGCGGAGTTCACACCCCGGCACGGCCATTGGTTATGTGCTTGTGTGTTAGTGTGCGCAGCTGACCCAGGCGCGTTCGTGTCCCGTTTGTTGCGCGCACCTGGACTGGTTTTCTCATGAGTTCCGTGTGATCACACCACCAATGGGAATCACGAGGCTCGTCGGAAGGGGCGATCGCAACCCACACCACTGAGCCAGCATTCCGCTCACCGCTGTTTGGTGTGCGGACGTTGACAGTGCAGGGTGCCGGTTAGTGACGGACTTGTGCACCCGTTGACGCTTCGAACATGGACAATTGAGTAATTAGAATTTCGAACCCAATGCTTCCTTTTGATCATCAGGATTGTCGAACCTGCACGTCACTCAAAGTTCCGTATATGGAACCTCAACAACAACAAGTTCTAAACAGGCTATCCGACAGGCGATCTATGTCCAACCTCGGTCTGTAATCTCACCAACAGAGCAGCATTCGTAACTGTTCTGTTGATGTTGGGTTCCCATAAAATCTTTCATACGTTTTTCTGACATTCAGCCGAAATGAGACAATCCCATACTGTTCGTCATCTTATCCAACTCCGTGCAGTTTTATTAAATGAGCAATACGGGTAGTGTACCGCAGCGTGTAACGGTGTAATCAAACCTAGACGGATTGTTAGCCCACCAGGGGGGTGCCGGTCAGTGACGGACTTGTGCACCCGTTGACGCTTCGAACGTGGACAATTGAGTAATTAGAATTTCGAACCCAATGCTTCCTTTTGATCATCAGGATTGTCGAACCTGCACGTCACTCAAAGTTCCGTATATGGAACCTCAACAACAACAAGTTCTAAACAGGCTATCCGACAGGCGATCTATGTCCAACCTCGGTCTGTGATCTCACCAACAGAGCAGCATTCGTAACTGTTCTGTTGATGTTGGGTTCCCATAAAATCTTTCATACGTTTTTCTGACATTCAGCCGAAATGAGACAATCCCATACTGTTCGTCATCTTATCCAACTCCGTGCAGTTTTATTAAATGAGCAATACGGGTAGTGTACCGCAGCGTGTAACGGTGTAATCAAACCTAGACGGATTGTTAGCCCACCAGGGTATGTAGTGTGCACAAAATCACACAGGTATACTCAAACGATACCTGAACCCTTCAGTTCGTGCTGCCATGCCCGACTACAGTTGTATGCAAACGCCAATTCACATCAGCTCATGAGTGACAGTTGATCTCAGTTCGAAAGCTAGTCGTCGAAACGTCTTGCCGGTCATGGTATATATGCGTGGATAGGTGAAAATTTTGCGTAAATTTACAGGCGCACACTGTTGGTGTGAACTACTCGGATCACATCTGCTTCAGTTGTTGATAGGAAATACGTACTACTGTACTCACTGCCAGTGTGTGGTCATCAATAGCTGAAGCGGTTGGCAGCCGAGTAACTGGCAGTCTTGCTTCATGCTCTTATCCCGTGCCGTGGCCGTCCATTATTCTCAAGGGTATAGAGTGTTCACTTTTCAGTATCGGTTCCCAAAACCAGATTGCTTAAGCTGTCTTCGGATAAGGTTGCTTCTTGCTATTCCTGCACATTGATTTCGCAATCCTGTGGAGGAACGAGGTGATCTGATTTCGAACCTGAGCATGCAGTACTGTGCAACTTGGTGTTCTGGACAAAAAGAGATGGGTGCTTGGGAGAGTTATTAGTGGAGTTTATTCAGATTGTTAGCGTTCTGGTGATACTTTGCTTGCTCCATTTTTTGTCTGCTGAGCAGTTCAGTTGACCTTTGTCCGGAGATCTTGTTTGTCGGAGATCTTTCCACCTGTTTCAGTGGAACTGAGAAGTGAGCATCATGAGATGTGATCTTCCGTAGCGGGGGATGGTCGCACTTAGAGGTTGCAAATTTCGCCTGACCTTCGTGTGTGTGTGTGTGTGTGTGCGTGCACGTTTGTGGCGATTCAGAGCAATCCGTAGGGTGAGTTGTATTACCTCAAGGCAAGAACAATAGTCTTGGATTCTATGTAATAGGTTGCTACCCCCCTAACCTAGATGTCCAGGAGCATCTAAGTGTGACCCATATGGCTTTGTAAACATGGAGTAAGCGACGCTTTGGGTATAGGTCAGACCAGCGTAGGTCCACTTACCATCACGCTTTGGTAAGCTGCAGACTCTGAGGGCTGGAAAGTAAAACTCAACAACAACGAATGATAAAAGCTTTTTCATAGGGGAGGCGCGATTTGTCTTACTGACAAAACACTTCCATTCTAAATAAGGCAGTTCGAAAGAATGATCAATATAACCGAACTAGTTTCTCAGTGTTGGCCATAGAATCGGGGTCCACAAATGAATGTCAAATCATCACTGACAGCAACAGCGGATCAAAACGCAAGTGCTTCATTGCCGTAAATGAGTATGAAAAGATAATATGAAGTTAATAAGGCAGATCATAGACACTGCTGTTTCGCTTACTCATACCGTCACTGAGGTTGTGAAGCGTTCCGTCACATAGAAAAAATATGGCGTAGGCAGTTACTAACCGTGAGTCTATTAATAGCTCTGCCCACTCCTTTATTCTGTTTGGATTGCTGTATCTCTCCATAAGTAGTCGGCAAATCCAATTGTGTTACTAATAAGAGTGTGGACAGTGAGTGCTCAGTCTGTTCTTCTCATGGAAAATTATCTAGAACTGTTCATTATTGTTCTCATCGAATAGGCCGAAGTTAACCTAACTAGATTCAAATACGCTTTGCAACGAAGCCGAAAAGCAGTGTAAATTTTTCTTGGCACCTTTCCAACACACCCCAGACGACTTGTCGAAAACAACTTTATCATCAGACCGATTTTGCACCTAACATTTTAGGACGGGATCATACATAAGGGCTTGTTCACGATCAAATCTATAAACCATGCATTACACATCTTAAGAAATGATCCGGTTGGTTGAACCTACTGGTCGGCCACATATTAACAATGTCAATTGCTGAGTGCCTTCAGCGAGCAATCCACTATGCAATCAGTAGAGAAGCAAAGCGAAAGTATGAGAATTATACTACTGACGGGGACTGCAATTGTGAAACAAGCTCTGAGATCCAGTCGTCAAGCATCTTGTTATAATAATACTGATATTGATCGTTCAGCTGCCCAGCTTCCATCCCACCCTAAGGAAGCACGAGAGCTGAGGTACTGCTAGGTTGCTCAAGTCTGCACAGGAGTAGCCATGGTTAGATTGGAACCATGGACCTCTCGGTCGGTAGCTTGACGTTTTAAACACAGAGTTATCTAGAACATCTTAAAGTCCCCCAATACCAACTTTGCTCACGAAAACGAGCTCTTTGTACACAAGAGTATATGCTTGCCTAGGTGAGAAATTGTTTTATCCAGTGGGGTTATTTGATTTCAGTATATTTGATTTAAGTCTATTTTACGCTCAAAATCGGATATCCAAGGCCCCACTATTAGACCTTCTAAAAGCTCAACCGAGTACTTTAGCGGATTGTTCAGCCGACACACTGCTATATGAGGCCTTATTCGATTGGCCAATGCCGCATGAATTTAATTTGTGTACCGGATGACTGTGCGACTTAACAAATTCCATTCGTCATGCTCGTCTTTCAGACAGTGAACCCGCACAAGCGTAGGATGCAGCCGGCTGGCAACTCACTTTCAGATACGTGAGCTGACAGGAATCGACAACAAGGGTAGAATATGACGGCCTATTGACATCTGTTCGTGCTTGGTATTCAAATTCGCAGTACTGTAGCTTCTCAGCAAAAGAAACTAACCTTGGGTATCACAGCTTTGTTTGGTAGTAAAGTTAGTCATATGCATAGGGTAGAGTTTTAGCACTTCTGTGCGACTTCGAATAAGGCGGTTGCTTTTCAAGGTTAACGATGTCTGTTCTGTCAGCTGTGGCGGGATGGGCATTACACTTTGAGTATGGTCATCAGAAGGTAGCTCTTTTATGGTCGATATTTGCAGTCAAGTAGATTACAGAGAAAAACCAGTGTACAGCGGTACTTGCTTTTTGTCGCTGTTAGACTGCATGGAATTCGCGATAGATTGCAAAACACTCACGAGTAAAGTCATGTATCCGGCATTTACGATCCTATGGGTGGAAGTCTCACTTTTCCGTAGACACGTGAACAACTGTTTTGCGATCATTAATATCGCTTTCTTCGTGAAACATTTCTGTCAGCAATTCTTCAAGTTTTCACTCAGTTTAAAACTATTTGTCCCGGTGTAATCTGCTAGCTAAACACCTGAAATGGCACGCAATCCAGACATTCTTTTGCTTCCCTGTCAACGCAACGACAGTACTAGTTGTGGTCCAACGACGACAGCAATGCAGTTCATTGGTTGCTGATGTTCTGTTGACAAGCACGGGGCTGAATCCGATGGCTCAGCCATTGTTAACTAGGCTAACATGATGTATTCGTGAAGGCAGTGCTAGACGCAGTAGACAATTACGCTAGACAAGTCGGCGGATATTCGGTTTATTTTTTATTTTATTTTAGTTTATTTATTATTGAGCGCTCCTCTTACATATACATTCATTCACAGCGTGACTTGCGCTGGTCAGTGGAACAGTCTCTACTGTAAGCAGTGCTGATGTCGTCGTACTTGATTGATTTCAATGAGACCGGCCGATACTGATCACAAGACTTTCCACACCTGGTTCACCAAAAGCTTAGTGATAACATTTTTATGACTTTTATTGTTATAGAGCGACGTTGCACGGTGAAGGCCTTACTTGCTGCCACTAGGGAGTTGATTACCTTTTCTAGGGATTCCTCTTAGAGATGAACTGCCACGCTGTCCCCGCTTCCAACACGCCCTTTCATTCAGGAAGGCAGGTCCGGTCATCTCTACCTGTTTCACAATGTCGGGTTCACCTTGAACGTCATACGCTACAGAAAGGGATGGCATCGAAATTCGTGACAGCACCCATTTTCCGCTTTTTAAGGATGTCTGGATAAAATTCGAAGCACAAACTGACCTGATGGACTAGATTTTAAGCTGAGATGTTTCAGTGGTTATCCGAACTAAGTCGTGGTGATTAAGGAATGGCCTGTTACTTTTGGACACGCTAACTGAAAACTCACGTTTCGGATTTCCGTCGTCCCATCTCGAATATCTTGCGCGAAGGAAAAAACCGTTTTATTTTCATTTCAGGAAAAATGCTGTCTCACGCTTCGGTCACAATTGTGTCCAACTCTGCTGAAGGGTTCCACGGGTATTCATACTATGTGTCGACACTTTTGACCCTGTCTATTTCATAGCTGCTTCCAGGAACAATATGCTATTACGCGGTAGTCATAGAGTTCACTGCTATCAAGTCCTGCTTATTCCAGCTTCTTCACTGATGAATTTGTGGGATAAAAATGTGTAAAAAATATTCGGCGCCTGAGAAATTCAGTCGGTTGAGGTCCTTCGGACTTACTGTTACTCATCACCTGAGCGAAAATGGGATGGGTCACGTTACCCCTTGGTTAGCAGTCTAAGAGTGTACACCATGAGTCCATAGATCGCTTAGGAAAGTGCGTCGTCGGTTGAGGTCGGACTTACTGTTACTCATCACTTGAGCGAAAATGGGATGGGTCACGTTACCCCTTGGTTAGCAGTCTAAGAGTGTACATACACAGTCCATAGATCGCTTAGGAAAGTGCGTCGTCTTGTTTTAATCCGTCGATCACGGGAATCCGATTTCTGATACCTAATCATATTGCCTATCTAACCAAATATCGACCTCTGCGTACGACAGGACAACTGAGGGTTCACCAGCCACATTGTAACCTCAGGCCAGTTGTGTGAGCAGTTAGCGGAAGGTCCGTCCTGAAGCCTGAAACTGCTGGATCGGTAACCACTTGACCGTTTCTTTCTAGATCAGTCCAGTGATTATCAAGGAGGGCTGCAACTCTCAGGCGGCTGAACTTTCCAGAAACTTACCCTAGTTTGCTAAAGTATTCAGTTGAATTTCGAATCCTGCGATCGATCAACACCAATCCTTCTGTGAGAACCTACAGTCACCAATAGTAAGATTATCCGACCATATCGCCAACTTGGACCACAAATCGCACCGCCCAAAATAAAAAGTCACTAAGAAATTGTGTTTTCCGTGATGGTTGATTATTTATTTATTACACGACACAATGAGACATCAGCTGATTAGAGACTAGATTGGTGCTAATTTTGCAGCCCACTGTGGTCTATCGCGACAGCTGATGCTGATCGTCGTAAAGAGCCCCAGAGCAAACTTTTCACGCGTTCTCTAGTGCTAATTTTTTTTATAAATCATCGATAGGCATTCCTGTGTAGGCAGCTTAGCTCCAGAATACATCGGAATTCGTGTTTGAAACAAATGGATGGGTTATACTTGCCTGGAAAATCAATGTGTATGTTGATAATGCACACGATCTTC